CACTAGGACTGTACATTAGGGTTTGGTTATATCTTTATTGATATAATTTTAAAATTGTGTTCTATTATAAAGAAATGGTTGTTGCACATACCACAAGTATTTTTCTAATTGTCTGAATCTTGAATACCCAAAGTGTGAAATTTTTTATGGATTTTCGTTTGTGGTGCCATTCAATAGATAGCACAGGAGTTGTGGTTACATACATCGATAATTGGTATATGTGCTACATCTATTATATTAAGATGTTGCATGGTTTAATGTTGGTAATTGTCTTAGTTTAGGTATGTTGCATGTTTTCAGAGTTTATTGTTTAATATTCTTGGGGCTTTACTGTTTGTGGGGTAGCGCACAACCTGGTCCATCTATATTATATTTGGGTATTATACAGTAAATAAAATACTGGAAGAGTATTGGACAAGCTATAGAACTTGAAGTTGATCACTGCATGTGTTTGATGTAAGTGCTATATTCATCTACCCAGTTTAAACATTTCTATGACTTGGCTTTTGTACAATTGTTTACAGGGAAATTCAGGATTTTTATTTATTTCTTTTTAACTAGAGAAGTGTGTGTATGTGTGTTTAGACTTCTTCCTCTAGTTATGGATTACAGATCTCCACAGACTTGGATTCTTAACCTCCTGAATATGTGAACATAATTTTCCTTCTCTGTTAGTGGGTACTTCTTCCTCTAGTGATGGATTACAGATCTCCACAGTTTTTTTAAGTTTTGTATAGACATTTTGAAATAACCAAAAATCGTATATTACTTTATTAATACTACAGAATTACACAATAATTTATCAAGTTTAGTAACTCAGCTGTATTTGGGTCTAAAAGTGAAATTTCAAGCTCACTAAAGTCTTACCTTACTGCTTGAAATCTAGCATCAAAAGAACAAGTTTGCTGCTCGATTACTTCAAATAGGCTGAGAAAGCCACCAGAGGGACATTCTGAGCTTTTGATTGGTTATTCACATGTCATAGACAGAAGTAGGTGTACATGAGCAAGTCTTTCCAAAAAATGGACCGAGGTGGGCAGGGCCACTGTTTTTGATTCAGTAAATGTAGCAATATCTCAGCAAATAGAAAAGATAGGAGGTTCTTATTTTATATTCTAGCTTGTCAATATCGGTCATTTGAGTTCCTAATTCATAAGAAACTATAGATTTTGTATTTGGACATCACAAACAACTAATTTGAACCAATGCTGCATTCAACATACCCAAGTGACAGACAAAAATATATATTTAGGAATTTTTTTATATTTACTTTTAAGTTAAGAAATTAACTAATGTTTAATACTGAAATTTGAATTATAATCTACAATTTGATACCAAACTTATTCACATACATTCATAAAATAGTAGTTCAACAAAATTTTGAATGAGAGTCAACAAACGCAATGACATGGCTTTTGACTCGTGTCGGCAGGCTTATGGCACCCAACAAAACTACATTTAGCATATTTGACAGAAATCACGTCACTTACCATATAATTCTCAGCCACAACAGAATCATTCCGCACTGCTGGTGGAGGTGTTAATCTACCCCAGTCTGAGGCTCTTAAATCCACAACGGATGTCAGCAGATTCTTGATGTTACTGAAAAAGAACCATTACTTAGAACAGCTGACTACTGCTTGTAAGAAAATACTACAATACACTCTGCAGTTTTTAAAACTATCAATAACTTTTGCATAGTAAGAATTTTATGACAGTTTTATTGTTATCACACAAGTTCCTCTTTGTAATTTAACCCTTTCTGGAATGGAGAGATGTCACTGGTTTTGTCTTCACACTACTTCACCAACTTGCATGAAACTTAGCAAAAATTATCTTTAAATGAGGATGATTTTAAATACTATTTTTGTTTTTAGGTTGTGAAATTAACAACAAAATTTGTGAGACTGTGTTTGGAAAGAATGTTAAAATTACTTTTTCATTGTAGTATCCCCCCCCCCTTTTTTATTGTTGTTGATCAGAAAGTTCCATTTCATATATCCACTCAGTTTCAACTTGATTAACATTCATTAACATATTTCTTTTGTTGATTGAAGTAGTCACCACTTCCTGCTAAAAAAATCATAAAAACAAGGCAAGAACTGATTTATTGGTTACCTATGACCTGATCTTTATAAATGGTGTCATCGTTATCTTTTTCAGGCTATGTATCATGATGTCTACTGATTATACTCGTAGTTAAGATCAGTTTATATCCGTTTCTTTTCAATAAATAATAGCTTATATTATATGCATACAGTTATTGGAAACAATAAAACTTTAAAAATAATATTCAATACATAAGGTTTAGAGTCATCAGAATATTTTGCCATTGTCTATCATACTTGTTAAATCTAAGCTCACCTGATGTCATCGAAGAAAGGTTCTGTAGCTATCAAACAATTAAAGCTTAAAGTATTTCAGGAATGAAAACAACATCTAAAGAAACCATTGAACCTTTGTTCACCCCCTATGAGAGTTCTGTGCAGGTAATATATCAACAAACCATAAATAACTTTCTTTTGACTTTAGTAGATAGAATCTTTTCTATTCAATCATTTTTTTGCCATTGGCTCTAGCTGTTTTTAAAGCTTTCATTTGTAATTGTTCAACCACATGGTGTGACATCATAAAAGGACTGTAGTACTAACAGAGAAGGAAAATTATGTTCACATATTCAGGAGGTTAAGAATCCAAGTAAAAAGATTTCCTTTCACATCCTCCACATATAAAATTTGATAAGGTTTAGCAACCTACATCAAGCAGCAAACGAATACAAAGTTCATAACTAGAAGAGATAATTGTTTTCTATAATTCTGTATTTACTGTTCTATATTTAAAAAAAATAACTGAAATTTAAGAACTTGTTTGTAAATAGTAATAATCTATATACATATATATATATAAATATAT